TCACCATCACCATCATCCATCACCATCACCATCACCATCACCATCACCATCACCATCACCATCACCATCACCATCACCATCACCATCACCATCACCATCACCATCACCATCACCATCACCATCACCATCACCATTCACCATCACCATCACCAGCACCCATCACCATCACCATCACCATCACCAGTCACCATCACCATCACCATCACCATCACCAGTCACCATCATCACCATCACCATCACCATCACCAGCACCATCACCTCATCACCATCACCATCACCATCACCATCACCATCACCATCACCATCACCATCACCATCACCATCACCATCACCATCACCATCACCCATCACCATCACCATCACATCTCACCATCACCATCACCAGTCACCATCACCATCACCATCACCATCACCATCACCATCACCATCACCATCACCATCACCATCACCATCACCATCTCCATCACCATCACCATGCACCATCACACATCACCATCACCATCACCATCACCATCACCATCACCATCACCATCCACCATCACCCATCACCATCACCATCACCATCACCATCACCATCACCATCACCATCACCATCACCTTCCAAGCACCATCCATCACCATCACCAACTCAACACCATCACCAACACCAACACCAACACCAACCATCACCAACACCAACACCAACACCAACCCAACACCATCACCAACACCATCACCAACACCAACACCAACACCAACACCAACACCAACACCAACACCAACACCAACACCAACACCAACACCAACACCATAACCAACACTCACCAACACCATCAACCAACACCATACACCAACACCAAACCAACACCAACTCCAACACCATCACCAACACCATCACCAACACCACACATCACCAACACCAACACCAACACCATCACCAACACCAACACCAACACCATCACCATCACCAACACCAACACCAACACCAACACCAACACCAACACCAACACCAACACCAACTCACTCCAACACCAACACCAACACACCCAACACACATACTCATCACCAACACCATCACCAACACCATCACCAACACCTACACCAACACCAACACCAACACCAACCACCAACACCAACACCATCACCAACACCAACTCCAACACCACACCATCACCAACACCAACACCAACACCAACACCATCACCAACTCCAACACCAACACCAACACCAACACCAACTCAACTCCAACACCAACACCAACCCAACACAATCCAACACCTATCACCATACACCAACACCAACACCATCACCAACACCAAACACCAACACCATACACCAACACCACACCAACACCAACACCAACACCAACACCAACACCAACACCAACACCATCACCAATCACCAGACACCAACACCAACACCAACACCATCACCATCACCATCATCCTATCATTCATATCATCTCATACTCCATATCATATCATTCATCATAACCATCACCAACACCAACACCTACCATCACCATAACCTACCTATCACATCAATCATCACATCACACACCAACACCAACACCAAACACCATCTCCAACACCAACACCAACTCCATCACCAACACCCATACACCAACACCAACACCAACACCAACACCAACACCAACACCAACACCAACTCCTACACCAACACCTACACCATCACCATCACCAAACACCAACACCATCACCAACACCAACACCAACACCAACACCATCACCACATCATCACCTACACCAAATCCAACACCATTAACCATACATACCTTACCCAACACCTACACCTACACCAACACCAACACCACACCAACTCCAATCTCATAACCATAACCAAAACAAACATCAATCACATACACCAACACCATCACCAATATCCATTATCCAACTACCATTATCATTATCATTATCATATCATATCATAATCAATATCATATCATATCATCTACCATATCATTATCATTATCATTATCATTATCATTCTCATATCATCAACACCAAAACCAACATCCAACTCATATCCTTATCAATAACATTACTCATTATCATTATCATTATCATTATCATTATCATTATCATTATCATAATCATATCAACATCATACTATCATTATCATTCACATTATCCATACACATATCATCATATCATTCATTATCATATCATTATCATTCATCATTATCATTATCATTATCATTCATTATCAATATCATATCATTATCATATCCATATCATATCATTACATTATCATTATCAATCTATCATTCATTACATATCATAACATTATCATTATCATTATCATTATCATTATCATTATCATTATCATTATCATTAACATTATCATTATCATTATCATATCATTATCATTATCATTATCATTATCATTATCATTATCATTATCATTATCATTATCATTATCATTATCATTATCATTATCATTATCATTATCATTATCATTATCATTATCATTATCATTATCATTATCATTATCATTATCATTATCATTATCATTATCATTATCATTATCATTATCATTATCATTATCATTATCATTATCATTATCATTATCATTATCATTATCATTATCATTATCATTATCATTATCATATCATTCATTATCATTAATCATTATCATTATCATTATCATTATCATTATCATTATCATTATCATTATCATTATCATTATCATTATCATTATCATTATCATTATCATTATCATTATCATTATCATTATCATTATCATTATCATTATCATTATCATTATCATTATCATTATCATTATCATTATCATTATCATTATCATTATCATTATCATTATCATTATCATTATCATTATCATTATCATTATCATTATCATTATCATTATCATTATCATTATCATTATCATTATCATTATCATTATCATTATCATTATCATTATCATTATCATTATCATTATCATTATCATTATCATTATCATTATCATTATCATTATCATTATCATTATCATTATCATTATCATTATCATTATCATTATCATTATCATTATCATTATCATTATCATTATCATTATCATTATCATTATCATTATCATTATCATTATCATTATCATTATCATTATCATTATCATTATCATTATCATTATCATTATCATTATCATTATCATTATCATTATCATTATCATTATCATTATCATTATCATTATCATTATCATTATCATTATCATTATCATTATCATTATCATTATCATTATCATTATCATTATCATTATCATTATCATTATCATTATCATTATCATTATCATTATCATTATCATTATCATTATCATTATCATTATCATTATCATTATCATTATCATTATCATTATCATTATCATTATCATTATCATTATCATTATCATTATCATTATCATTATCATTATCATTATCATTATCATTATCATTATCATTATCATTATCATTATCATTATCATTATCATTATCATTATCATTATCATTATCATTATCATTATCATTATCATTATCATTATCATTATCATTATCATTATCATTATCATTATCATTATCATTATCATTATCATTATCATTATCATTATCATTATCATTATCATTATCATTATCATTATCATTATCATTATCATTATCATTATCATTATCATTATCATTATCATTATCATTATCATTATCATTATCATTATCATTATCATTATCATTATCATTATCATTATCATTATCATTATCATTATCATTATCATTATCATTATCATTATCATTATCATTATCATTATCATTATCATTATCATTATCATTATCATTATCATTATCATTATCATTATCATTATCATTATCATTATCATTATCATTATCATTATCATTATCATTATCATTATCATTATCATTATCATTATCATTATCATTATCATTATCATTATCATTATCATTATCATTATCATTATCATTATCATTATCATTATCATTATCATTATCATTATCATTATCATTATCATTATCATTATCATTATCATTATCATTATCATTATCATTATCATTATCATTATCATTATCATTATCATTATCATTATCATTATCATTATCATTATCATTATCATTATCATTATCATTATCATTATCATTATCATTATCATTATCATTATCATTATCATTATCATTATCATTATCATTATCATTATCATTATCATTATCATTATCATTATCATTATCATTATCATTATCATTATCATTATCATTATCATTATCATTATCATTATCATTATCATTATCATTATCATTATCATTATCATTATCATTATCATTATCATTATCATTATCATTATCATTATCATTATCATTATCATTATCATTATCATTATCATTATCATTATCATTA